TTAATCTTCTTTATCCATTGGACAACTCATGATGCTTCCTAGGAAGTCTGCTGTTAGGATTTAGCTTCTCCTTTTCTATATGAATGCCATGTGTAAGTACGCAATTTCGTTATGTTTGTTTATGCATTGTTACAATGACCTTCCCAGCCAATTGTTAACAATCCTCCTGAAGCAGAGTTTGTAAGTTTCTTGTCCCAAGTGGAAAGAGTTACACATTGCTCCATCTTATTGGTAAAACGAATGATTGTTTGGCTTTTGGAGGGATAATTTTACAGAATAGTAGATATGGAATGTTGATTTCTTGGTTTGTTTGTTGCTTTTGGTTGTACTGGGCCAACTCAGCTGCCACGTGTTTGTGATCAAGGGGAAGCGACAATTTTGGTTTGGCGTTACAAAGTTTTCCCCTTAATATGGCCAAGGTCTTATTCATCCTGGTTTTGACTTTTTAAGTTCCAACTTTTCACCACAAAATTGTCTAAAAACGGAAAGATGCACAGTGAATTCCATGATGGAGCCCGTTGTCATCTGTTGATGATATTATTTATTAGTCAATCCAGGTGTTAGTGCTATAAATGATGCTTTCATTGAGGGAACTTCCTTTTAATGATTTTTTTCTATCATTCCAGGCTGTTGGTGAATCTAAGCAATCCATACAGTCGGCAAATACAAGTACAAATGGTGAGTTTCACTGTGGCTGCCTCTTATTTTAAAAATCTGGTCCAAGCAGAAACTAAGTTAGTGATGGCAATGGTCATTGTAAATACATTAGTGGAATATGCAACCGTTTGAAGCATGAACATAAGAAGAACCCTGAGAACCGAAGTGTGTTCTGTAGGTGCTCCAGGTGGCAGTAAAGAGATGGCATCTTCTGAAATTCATTCACAATCGCGTTTTGGCTCTCTTTTCAGTAAAAAGATGGAAGATAATGTATGCTACTTTACTTAATATTCTTACATGGCTGTTAATTCACATCCGCTCCACAAAAAACTTATTGTTACTGCCTTGCTATGTTTCATTTAATAGGCAGATCATAAGGCTGCCAAGGCATTTGATAGAGAACTATCTACTCTGCGTCCTTGCAGCCCTCTGAAAGGGAAACTCAATGAGGATTTGTCACAAAATGGAAGGCGGAAAAATGGATCATCAAAAAGACGAGGTTCTCAATCTTCTGTTGGTTGGAAGGACAAGGGAATTTCCTCTGATTCCTTCTACTCTAAAGGGCAAAGTGCATCTAGACATTTTTCTAATGGGTAAGTGGTTCTCGTTTACTGTGTTTGCTTACACGTATCCTGTCCTCTTGGTTTTGTTACCTAAATGTTGGTGTGATTTCTATTTCTTATCTGTGGCGAAGTATGTTGAAGGGCCAGCAGAGGTAAGAATTTGATGCCCTGTATAAAACACTAGTGAGATAGTCTAGGATAAGGCTTTTAGTCTAGATGAAAACTAATGTGATCTGCTTTCCTGATCTTGAAGCGCCTTGTAAGATGAAATAACTGGATAGCCAATCTGGGGCAGTGGTAATGATACTCTTGATCACTTTAACCAATACTGTTCATTCAAAATTTGATATGCCTGACTATATACTGTTCGTACTCACTAATGGGAAGCAATTTTTCTGAGAGTTTGCCTCAACAGTGTGTTAATTTAGACTTTCATTTGCAGCATTTTATCTGTCTATCTCATGTTCCTGCTGTTTAATGCAGCACAAGCTTTTCTCGGATTGATGTTTCTTTCCCTCTTTTTTCAGTGCTTTTGGTAGAAAAGAGGAATCTCCAGTCTCGCCTTTATATAGTCTCAGACCTAGAAAGGCAAGTACGAAAGAACACAATACCTGAACTTCTTGACACTAAGCTGTACTGGTTATTTGACGATATATGGTTTCTCTTGCTTGAATCATTATGTTTGGTGATGTAATGAGAATAATTTAAAGTTGAAATATTTTTTAATGTTCTTGAGGGGCTATAGAAAGAATCAAGTGGTTCCTTTTTCTTCTAAGGCGTTTTTTTTAACCTCTCCGAGTTGATATCTCTGTAGCTTATTTTATTCTAATCTTGTGAACAGAGGGAGACTGTGGTTCTTTTGGATGATGATGATGATGATGATGAGGTTCTGGAGACACTAGATTGTGCAAATGAAACACGTGATGAATGGTAAGTTCAGCTTCAAATGGTGCTTTCTCCTTTTGTTCTGTTTTGTTTTCTTTTGCCTAGTTCCATAGATTAACAAGCATTTGATTTTCCCTGTGACCTTCAGCCTGAAAGATGCTAAAATCTACTACCCGTCTAGGTATGTTTAAATTTGTAAATTGGGCATAGTTAAGTTAAGAAGGTCAAACCAGGGATGGTCCAGGATGCGACTATTGACTTCTTGATGTTGATGCAGGGATGGTCCAGAATGTGTTGAAATCTGTTTCCAGGATATAGACTGTCTGGCTCCTGAAAGTTTCTTGACATCGCCTATCATGAACTTTTACATACGGGAAAGTGAACTTCATCCTGGTTACCTTCTGTTTCACGGTGCAAACTGGTAGGTCTTATTACCAAGAACCAAAGATACACCGAACACAACCAAGCAGGAATATGAAAGCCTATCATACCAATAGGATACCACAAAAGGGCTTTTCTCGCCACTATATGGGTGTCAGTTAGAATGACCATCTTAATTAGTTCAGTGATGGAACTATGTGTAATTTCAGATGGGTTACAGTAGGCCCTTCAGTATATAACGTGGTTCTCATATGTTTATTCATATGTTAAGAAAACATTATAAAGTGACAAGATAACTGACTATTATAAAGCACAAAGCTTTTCTCCATTAACTGGTTAACGGTGTTTGCGAGTAATGGATTTCACTTTTACCATCTCCTAAGTGAAAGAAACGGAGCTGTTTATTGGGTGTAGCTGGTAATTGTGGTGAATGTTTCAGCCTTTCATCCTTGTTCATCACTACTTGAATCTGGAACATTGAGGTGGAGTACTGTCCACGTTTTTATTTTATCTCTTGTTTAGGTACCTAGAGATGCAGGCTTCTCCATCACAAAAGGCTACTTGTGATTATCACATATTTAATACATTCTTCTACAACAAGCTTAAACAGCAGCTGTCACGAAAGGTAGTTGAATTGATTGCTTCAGAACCGTGGCTGTCTGGGTATGTGATGTACTATTGTTCACCTGTCATCCACTTTCATGTGTAGGGAGGTGAAAAGGAATCCCTCTTTGTCAAGTTCAGAAGATGGTGGAAGGGTGTGAACTTATTTGAGAAGGCATACATACTGATTCCTATACACGAAGAGTAAGTTTCTTTTCAGGTTCATTGTACAGTTTCTTCTAGTTGCTGATTGCTCATTGCTGCAAGTTGTCAGCTTCCATTTCGTATTTGAAGCTCGTTAAAAATGAAAAAGGGACTTGCTTCCTAAGCTCCCTTCTTTCCCTTGATTTGGCGTAATTGTGTCATTATTCATGGGTGCTGATATATCAGTCTACACTGAAGCTCGTATTTGAAGCTCGTTAAAAATGAAAAAAGGGACTTACTTCCCAAGCTCCCTTCTTTCCCTTGATTTGGCATAATCGTGTCATTATTCATGGGTGCTGATATATCAGTCTACACTGGAGCTTGGTGATCATCTGTTTCCCAGAGAAGACGGACAACAGATCAGGACCAATGTTGCTTCATTTGGACTCATTAAAGCTCCACTATAGCAGAGTTGTTTTGGAGGATATAACTAGGTGAGATTAAAAATACCTTGGAATTGGACAGACTTACTTTTGTAACTTGGTATTGGCTGTTTCTGGTCTTTAGTAACTATTCAAATAGTTAAAATAGATCTCTCACATCACAATTTATTTGTCATTATTAAGTGAAAAAATTATTTGTCATTGAATAACATCTCCTGCCAATTGCAATATCAATTCACAGCTTTTTGAGAGAAGAATGACAATATTTACATCAAGAATTTGCTCGCCAGTCAGATGTTGAGATCTCTGACAAAATATGGAAGCGTCTTCATAACATTTCTTCAAGAAGAATCGAGGTAAACAAGTGCCCCGAGTTTCAATATCATATGATGTATGTATTCTGAATCCTAAATCACAATGCCTACCAGGTTCCGCAACAGAAAAATGATTATGATTGCGGTATCTTTGTACTTTATTTCATGGAGCGCTTCATTGATGAAGCCCCCGAGAGGCTGAAAGAAGTGGATCTGGACATGGTAAATTTTCCATCACACCCCCACACCCACACACTTTAAAGATTTATCCTTATTTTTCAGTCTCTAGTTTTCCATGTCATCTGAATAAAACCTAAGAAAAATAATGCTATCACATATATACAATTCTTTTGGCTGCAGTTCGGCAAGCAATGGTTCAAACCTGAAGAGGCATCTCGCTTGAGAAAGAAAATAAGAGATTTGCTCAAGACCGAGTTTCGTAAATTAAGAAAGCGCACCATTGCTTGCGAATCATTGGCTGTCCCTTCCGGAGGATCAACTTCAGCAGAAAACAGTAATTCAACTGAGTCGTCCTGACTTTGTACAGCTCAGATTCAGGGTAAAGAAGCACAACAATGAGTTAGCTATGTACATCCCGAGAAAGAGGAGAGGAAAATTGTGGATACCCATTTTATCTTGGGCTTGAAATAACAACAGGTAGAGTAAGATCGAGTTCTGAAGCCCCTCTTCTCTTTCTCCCTTTTTGCGGGTTTTGGCTTCCTTCATCAAAGACAAAGTGTACAGATATAGGGGAAGTACAGCAGTTGCGAGAATTTTGGCACATAAAGACAGAGTAGTGTCCACCATTCTTAGCAGTTCAAAAGACTGCTGTACCTCTCTGGATGATCATCTTTTTATACATGAAGTACAGTAGCCCTCCTTTTTTGCAATACATTTCTTGAGACAGAAGCAGTGTGGAGGGAGGAAAGGTGAAGGGTTGTTTTCTGTTTTCGTAATGGTGTGCAGGTCAATGGTGGCCTCTAACAAATAAGGAGGGGGGAATCTGAAGAAGAAGAGAAAAAATCCTCTTACCAGATCAAAACTAAGTCAATTGCCCATAAGAGTTCAACATAACGACATACAAACAGTACAGGCTCCCCAATAAGAGAGAAAAAGAAACACCATCAAAAAGTCATGCTTCATCTGCAATACGATTCCGTAAAGCAACATCCAAAATGGTGGCCGATGCAGTTTCTTAACAGGCCTAAAGAATCAAAAAATTCCTTTACATCACATGCGGTATTGGATCATTGGTTACTTGTCAAACTCAGTGTGTGGTCTCAGTGCTCAGTAGTATAGCAAAAATTATATACGTTGGTATGATCTAAACGCACCAATACGATCATGAATCATTTACGTAGTTCCTGCAGCGGGGTGGGGCTGGGGAGTTTTTCTCAGTATGGGAATAACCTTTTGCGGTTCTTCTTCTTCTCAGGAGTGGCAAGTATTGCTTTCACCCCATATGTAGTCATCTGGAAGTTCTCAAAGGCCTGAGAAACTGCTTCCACCTGTGTGACAAGGAAATTCGGCACCGGGTTTTGGTTCATATAAGGAGAGACCCATTCATTTGTCACATGAAACCAAGAAATGGTACCCTTGCAAATTTCTTTCTTCAAAAATAAGCATAGAACAAATTTACTAACCAGTTCAGGCTTCTTGGCGTAGACTCTCACGATCTTGTCCTGACAAACAGCAGGGACTAAGTGACTGATGCGCTCCACTGGTATCGTGAAGCTGTCCGTGCTGTCATAGTCCTGAGAAAGGAATAGATCATAGGAAAAGTCAATGTGATTGGAAGCTTCAAATATTGTATGTGCTTGGAATGAATCCTGATCTACACTCTCCAGTGGAAGCCATGATTGCATTCTTTACATGACAGTAGCAGTCACATGGGGAGCCAAATCAAGGGTAAAAGTTGGCTTGGGTTAAAGGTTATTAGTATTTAATAGTACCTGAAAAAACTTGACGCTGGGAGTGGATGAACATCGCATGAGGAAAAGATCAAGACCGGTTAGAAGAAGCAGAAACAAAAGTAAACAAGCAAAGGAGTTGAACCGCCAGAATTTTTCAGTTAGTTACCTCTCAAGAGGATTGGAACTTCCACGGGTTAAGTCGATCTTGGCAGTGCTCACAGCAATATCTTCTTCCTTGAGTGTAACATCACTAGATCTCTGTTTTGAGCAGGCAGCAGATGTTGGTTGAGAAACAAAACAGTATTAGTAGTACTTCTAGAAAGCAATGAGAGCACTTATGTGTCATGTTACCACCTGGGAGCATATAATGTCCTGTGGAGTGACGTCCTTGAAGTGGTCTAGATTTTCCTTTGGAACCGCAAACTCATTGCAGAACTGGAACCCATAGAGCACAGAGGCAAAAATTACAAAAGCTAATAAAGAATAGGCAGCGACAGCAAGAGAGAACAGTCTCCCACTCCACACCGACATATACAAGTTCGCCTCCTACCTGGTATAGATCTCTTCTCCTGATGCGTAGAACCAAATCTCGGGCCTCTTTGAGTTCTGGTCTTTCGTCAACTTCAATTCTTTTCAATATTGTGTCATCCAGCTGTGCAAGCATTATAAAACAGAGGACACTGATGATTAAACAAAGGTGGAATAACAAAATGACCCGATGATGAACTCGGATGATAGACGTTCAGAGTCGGTTGATGTTCAAGATGTTCAGACCTTCCAAAACTCTCCAGGGTTTTGAACAGCGTCAGCAATTCCAAAGGCCTCATTTGCTTTGGTTAGGGCATCAACAGCCATGAGTTCTATCCCCTGAAGATTTAGAGAACCCGTGTAAACTTCAAACAGCATAATATTTTATTCCAGAATGTAAGAAGTTTCACCTTCACTTTAGCATGTGTATAGATTGTGCGGTGCATTTCTGCTCGAGTCGAAAACAGATTGTATACCGTGAGATCTACAAACAATGAACCATCAGCATCAACAATAGTGTACAGTGAAGTAGCTGCAGTAATTTAGGATAAAGTTCAAATAATACTAACAGTCTTTGGCACGGTAACAAATCTCATCACCCAAAACCCTCATGGATCCCATTAACCTGGATGTCAACAAAGCACCCAGAAGACAAGTTCACATCAAAATAAAATGTTCCTAACTTCTCTCCCGGTGGGTCATATGAATCAACTTTCAGCCTAGCAGTAATTACGCTAACATGATGTTTGTTTCAGATAAAAGCATTCATGAAATCATACGCAGGTCAGAGTACAAGTGCATAATCTTTGGAGGAGTACACACCTCCCAAACATAAAACCACAGCCAACTCCACAAGCCCGCGAATCCCGAATAAGGTAGTCAAACCTAAATAAAGAGTATTGGGATTGGCAAACCAGAATGCAATCATCACAAACAAGAATATAACCAAGATGAGGTAAAAAGAAGAAAAGATGACTCACTTGTCAACATCTACTCCATTCCGGCCGTTTGCAACAATGTCATAGAGAAACTGCTTTCCAGTGGGACTCTACACCCAAAGAAATTTCAACAATTAACAAACTTAACGCAAGATAAACGTCTAGATAAAGCTCAGAATGCGAGACAACTTACATTGTGAGAACCATGTTCAGTACTTGCGACGACCATTTCCTGCCAAAAGAACAGAGAAACAAGAGTAACTGATATCAGTTGGTGTTCATTATGCATCTACTAATGGACAAAATTGAGTTGAGGAGAGGAAATAAGGGAAAATTAGTGCCATGTGACTCTAAACCTTTGCTTTCTTTAGGCATTCTGGTTCAATGTCAATGTGGTGCTTGTCAACAATGTAGTCTATCATGCTGATAGACATGTCCTCATGAGACCTGAAAACAAACTTTGGCCTGTCAACTTTGGAAGTGTCACAAGTCATGCTGGAGGAAGTGCTCAGCCTTAAGGATACTCATCAGAGCATCTTATGCTCTAGTAACCTTGGATATGAGAAACTCTCCCAATACATCCGATGACAGATCATTACCGCAGGCAAAATTGAATCTACTAACCATGAGGCGCCATTAAGAAACAGAGGAAGAAATTGACGCTCAAAAGTGTGGCTGAATGGTCCATGGCCGATGTCATGCAATAATCCTGGAAAGATGAGAGAAGCAACAGGTAAAGCAAGAAAAAAACAGCTATATGCAGAAACATTAAAAAGCAAAATACACTTCACTCACCAGCAAGCTTCACAGTCTTTATATCAAAATCCTCAATGGGAAATTCCGGATCCTTTACAGGTTGAAACATCCATTCAGAAAGGTTGTCCATCAACATAAAAATCAAAAAGAGGTTTAACAGAACATTTTAGCCTCCGTACCTGCTGAGCTCTGAGACGATAAGCTACTTCTCCAGCCAAATGGTACACCCCTAACGAGTGCTCGAACCGAGTGTGCACTGCTCCAGGGTACACCATGTTTGTTAGTCCTGCAAACAAGTAATTATCACTCAGTGGAAAGAACGAGTAAATCAATGTACAAAACGAATAGTCTAGGAACTGATCTCCAAAAAGCGTTTAACAATCACCAAGTTGCTTGAGATCCCGAAGCCTGCGTCATGGAATAACATAGTCAGAGTGGTGTTCTTGATTATGAGAAACTGAAGTTAAAATTAGCAAGTATGGACGTCGAACTTGCCTCTGAAATTGTTCGGTATCGACGAACTTGAGAGCAAGCTGAAACACAATGAAGAGAAACAGAATCCATCGTCAAACTCACCAACCCTTCCTTCCAGAAACAAAGGTAGCTAATAAGAGAATGATCTCTGGATCAAACCAACAAGAGATCATATTGTCAACGAACGCACTCCACATTAGAAGAATTAGAAGCGACTGTTGCTGAAACAAGTAAAGAGAGAGGAAGAAGAAAAAAGAAGACCGAAAAAGGACGTAGAAATGCTGCTTCCAAGAAAGAGTCAAAATGCTAAAACTGGAATGCGTTCGCTCGACGTTACGGAAGCTATAGCCATTCGCGTCCAAGATTTCACTAAAACGTTTCGAAACCTTAAGGACGAACGGTTACTTGCAGACTACCAAGGAAATTCCTCCTACGCAACATCGGCGTTCGTTTCATCAATTCCGTGGACGCAAATCAAATCTCCGTTAATGGATAAAGAATTCCGGCCAGAGAGCACAAACTGGACTCCCAAATTCTTTAATCATGCACAGCTCAACCATAAACACAGAGATTCCGCCGGAAATCGAGTAAAAAACTTCAGGCAGTAATTGATAAATCGGATTTGATAGCTAACGAACAAAATCGAACGGAACAAACATAAGCAACAGCGGCGCAGAAAACGAGTTGAAACGGAGATTACGGACAGGCATGACCGACGAAAACGCCGGAGGGAAAAACGATGGAAACGCACTAGCGAGAGGAAAAGCAGCGAGAGTATGTACCGGCTCCAAGTAGATGGTGCCATGGACGTTGTCGAGGATTTCCTTCGAGAATCTGCGATTCTGGCAGTAAGACGCATAGTTGGAGGCGCAGTAACCGTCGTTGGAGGAAGCTCCCATCGTCGTCGGCCTCAGCTCCGGTATCGGACTGCGAATGCGGGAACGCCGCTCTCACTGTAATACCTGGAGAAGACGGAGGAGGAGCAGAAGAAGACGGCGATGTTAAAAACCGAAAGCACACAGAGAAAGGAAGCTACTAAGCAGGCCGGGAGAGACGATTACTGTTCGAATTTCTTGCGAGAGGTGATGGAAATGGCGGAGAGAGAGGGAAGATAGAGAAGCGGCAAGGATGGGAGGTATAAATAAGCACTGGAGGAGTGAGCAATTTTTCGGCGAAAATGGGGGGACTGAGCAGAGGTGGTGTGGTGAATTGGCAAAGTGCCGCCAAAAAGCTGGATTTCCATCCTCACGCGATCGGTTGCACGCTCGAATCGCGTGGAGGTCTTTGTTAATTGACAAGAAATTAGTAAAGATTAAAGAACATTCCGTCGGTGGTACTGACGGGAGTAACGGCGGGACATGCAATTATGAGTAATTGATATCGATTAAAGTGAACGGTAAATTAAACCGCCGTCTCTAACTGCTCCCTAATTATTATTATTTAGGAGAAATACTTACCTGGTGGTTTCCCCAACAAGCTGGCTTTGGTAGGGGTGCGTCATTGGCAGCTACAATTTGCACTTTGCTAGAGCACACGTCATCACAGGATATTGGAATTTTATCTTTAAGAAAGACAGAATATTGGAATTTAGACACGCTCGTGGGTTCAGCAGAATAAAACAGAAAACCTGCTTTCGTGATGCGCAAGGCATATAAAACTCCTCTCTTCTGTAAGTACCAATTATGAGGATTGACGAATCAGAATATTTTCGATTTTTACCAAAAAAAAAAAGAATATTTTCGATTTGGTCTTTAACTAGCATACAAAGTACAAACATGCAAACATCGTTCACTAATTCTATGTTAAATTCATAATAATAATAATAATATCATTAACATGAAGCCTGGAACTGCTCAGGGACTCGGAGGACAGAAGCCTGGAATGTCCTGGGCTTCCCAAGCCCCAGCTCCCCGCAAGCAGCCATCTGGTCCTCACCTCTGCTCTGCTAACAATGAGCAGTTTCCTTGTGCTAGTAGATTACGGAACTCGATCATTCTGTCCATGCTGGTTGGTCTGAATTGGGAGCCACAGTGAGGATTAAACTGAATGAGATTAATCTTGCACGGAATGCCTTTAACTAGATAGATCAACTTCCTTGCATCCTCAACGCTGACAGACAACAACAATCAGATCCACTCAAGATTTCAGACCAGAAGGGAAAACTCCAGTGGAGTATGGACCAATGAGTGCTTTCACAAGCCATGAGAAAAGGTCAATCAGCATCTAACCTGTCAGCTACACCAGCAAGCATTACATACTCCAACAACAGCACTTTGTACTTGTTCTAGAATTGAAGCTCCTGATGCAGTGTGTCGAGAAGCAAGCCGATATTATGCTTGCAGTTGGCATGATGCAGTTTCTTACCTGCAAAAATATTTGGTTGTGGGAAAGTAGGCGAAATCTTTATCAATACGTGAGCTTCTGCTTGTTAAGGCAACATAGCTCATGCTGGAACTCACTCACCTCATCAGTTGTTGCATTTAGACTGACAGCCAAAGCAGAGTTCGATTCATGGAGAAATCGCTCGAGTTCGGGAACAAGCCCGCCTGCAGAAACAGTGGCCTTCCGGGGGCTGAACTGAAGTCCTTGCTCATCCACCATTATGTACTTTTATTACATTTTCAATGTTCTGAAGAGGTTCTTCCATTCCCTGCGGATCATCAAAAAGTAGCAGCCATTTAAAATTAAAATCAGTTTGTTTCAGGAACCACTTTAGATCATCTAAATCTGAAGTTATGTTGACAGTTGAGACTACAACTACTATGAAGACCACGTTAGTGATACAACCAACTTCACTTGTGAGCAGATGCCTTGCAAATACAGCTTGCTCTACTATCTCGGCTGCCTCATCCTGCAAAATCGATCAAGGAAATGCAGCATGAAGCAGCCAAGAAACATGAAGATCATATAGCCTAAAGTGGTTCCTGCCAGTGTAGCAGAACTGACAACTGTCGTCCTACCTCTCTATCACATGGTATCACGACTGCTTCTATAACAAGTCCATCATTCAGCCTCAATAAAATCTAAAACATCCTGTGAGTTTCAAGATCAATGAGAAGATTCTCGTAGCTTATTCAAGGTTAGAGACATATCACAAGCAGGTGTAAGTTTTGAACAAAATAAGGAAGAGACATGGAGCAACGCATTCTCTCAAAATGGATGGCAGGAATTAGCATTTCAGAAGGTTAAAAGGATTACCTTTCTAGTTCCATCAGACGCAGATGAAGAACGCACCGAGGGGTTGGCCGTGTTTGAAAAGAAGCGGTGGCCAAGAGTGAAATTGAGGGCAAAATTATTTGGTACTGCCGGCGGCTAGGATAACCTAGCCTTGTGAAGTGAAAGGGTAGCAAAAGGGGAGGAGGACAGCAATGGAGGGTGTCTGAATACCAGGTTAGAGTTGGGTGTGGTGCATCGCAGCAGCCCATCCATTCTCTAAGTTTGCTGTTCGAGCAAAAATACCAACGCAGAAGTGGACAGACAGAAGGACGAAAGGCAAAGATGCAATAAAGCTGTAGTAATGATGGTCTGACTATTTGTTCTGTAGTGAGGATTTTCAATGCTGTAGTTGAGTCCAGTTGATGAGCTCCAGTAGGCTACACCGTATGCTATGTCTCCAATCGGAAATCAACAAAGTCTCACTCATTTCAAGTCATAATTAATAGAAATTAGAGGAGGGAAAAGTACCGTATATTGCTATATGCAAGTCCAGCATAAAAACGTATTCTTTTTGTTAATCACTCAACGATGATAAGTTCACTGCTAATACGAAGTGATAATATCCAGGTAGACTCATTGGACAAAACCTATTGATACTATGGATTATGGAACTCCAATAGTAGCAAAATGGCAATCACCTCTAGAATACAATACTGGGAAGAGAACCCTCAGAGCAACATCCAGAATTTAGTACATCACCTTTCCCCATTTCCCACACCAATACATTTGGAAGCCAGTTGATGCCCCAGCAGTGATGCACATGCAGGTCCTCATTCCAGTGACATCTCCTCTTTCCATATGCAAATACAGCCATGGTCAGAATTAATCCCTGTGGATACAAAGCATATATGAAATGTTAGGCTTGCCCTTCCAGAAAGTACCATGTTGTATCTAGAACTTGTATGCAAAGTGCCATTTTAGTTCAGTAAACGAGAAACAAACATGCCACATATCCCTTAAACTGGAAATCACAATTGAATATCTCAGGTAGATTTCACAGTTATGATGTGTTCCTCCCAATCCACATCAGCAGGTATGTGTGTGATTGGATTATGGACAGCAACAATAAATGTGCTTGCAGGGAAACTAATTTACAGGAGGTAAAAGAAAAACTTACCAGTACTTAATCAAGCCATCCCAACTGCAGGTAGCCACTTTACTTTGTTCCAATGGATGCCATTCACACCCAATGCGCACTTGTTCATGGCATTTTAAGGTCCTGAAAACTTTGCAGCTCTTCCAGCCCCAGAACCAACACCTACCCTCACCATCTCCCGACATAACAAACCGCCCGTCGGGAGAGAAATTGACCTGGCAGGCATATCCTCATACAATGTGTCCAGCAAACCTCTTCTTCTTATTCAACTGAAACCTTTACCTAGTGCTGTATATAAGGATTTGGTTATCCAAAATCTGTGCTGCTAGCCAAATTTGAATTGGGATGAACAGATATCGAAGGCATGGAATGCACGTGAGGCTTACTGATATACTTTATCACAGCAGGTATCCTGAATTCCCACACAAAGCGATTTATCATCGCTTGATGCGATGAATCTACTGCTGTTATCCACGAAAGTGATGGTGTTCACTGCCCCTAAATGCATCATACTCCTGAGTGATCTGGCCACTATTCATATCCCACTGCACTATTTTCTTATCACTCAACCCGGCCAACAATACATTCTGCTTATCTTCATCAGGATTCAACTTAACAAAATAAGGAACTTTTCGAGGTTGAAAAGGTTGAAATCACCTGACCAGTCTCAGTATCCCAATACTTGATATTCTTATCATACCCAGCGGACAGAAACTTAGTCCCATCATTCGTGTAACATATGCCTCTAACTGCCTAAGAATGAACGACTCATGTAAGTTATCATACACTGGCCTGAATTGAACACATCCCAGATCTTCACCTTCGTGTCCATCCCAGCTGAGAGAATCAAATGCCCAGATTTGGGGAAGAATCTGATGGCGGAAACACCCTTCGTATGCCCGCTCGATGTTGCGTCTTCCACAAACCCTAACTTGTGATTCATCCGGAGCGGTGGATCTCGCTGGAAGGAGACGCGGCGGAGAGGATTCTGGAGAGGAGCTAGGGTTTCGAGCTCGGCGGCGGCGCGCTCTTCCATTCCTTCGCCGTCGATGTAGGATGCTTGGAGTTGGAGAGTATCCATTTTTCGCTGTTTGTTCGACGGCGATTTGCGCGGGAGGTGAGTGCAAACAAGTCCGAAGACTACCAACTAACTGGATTTTGTTCTAAATGGGCCATATGTTGTTGGGCTCCCGGATTGCGTTAAGGCCCATTAATCTGCTTGGATGGAAAAAGAAATTGAATGAAGCTTGGATAGAAATTAAACATTGGATTGGACGTCTCGTTAATGTTATAGATCCCGCAAACGGAGAATTTAATGGTAGAAGGAGATAAATGCCAAGAAATGAATTCAATTTTTTGTGACATTGAAATTTAAAGGTCACATCCAATTTCTGTGAAAACAATCAATTTCATTCTTCAGGTTATGGAGTAATAAAAATAATTATTGAATAACGCAATAACTGTATTAAAAGTGAATTTATGGTGGTGTCTAGTAACTATAATGAATTAGGGCTGCAATGAGCCAAGCTACTCGCGAGTAATTTTCGAATCGGGAAAAACTCGTTCGAAATTCGATTCGTTTACTAACGAGCCAAACTTGAACTTAGCTTTGTTAAACTCGCGAAGCTCGCGAGCTAGCTCGACTCGGTGGCTTGTTGAGCTCAACTCGTGAGTTGGCTCATTTAGAGCTCATGAGATGTCTCAACATTGTGGTTTGAGGGCCAACTTGATCATCGACTTATGAACGAATCGATCTAATTTGGACTTTCATAATTAATAGGATTGTTAAATTATATATCTCACATCATGTGAAGTTTAGCATGTTGAACATGTAAGAAAATATGCCTTAATTTTTAATTCTGTAAAGAAATTATGTACAAAATAGTTTCGATACTATAAAATAACATAATTTGAACTAGTTAAAATTTATTGACTAAACAATATGACACCTACAAATTATAGGATTTTGCTACGGTGACATGGACTTTTCGGTCGACCTAATCCAAAAGGCGGTCGACCGAATTGACTAATTCATGTATGTGTCGGACTGAGTTGATTGTTATTCTGTTATTGTTTTAGTTTTTTTTTTATGTGTGAACAATTATGATTTCTGTTTTTATTGTATTTCTTGTTAGTTTGTTTAGTTGTTATGCTATGAATTGATGAGTCTTTGTTATCATTATTTATGACTAGTTATGATGGTTTGAAACATAATTTATACGAGCAAAAGAACCACACAAATCGACATACATAAGCGAAAAAGACACGGGGCATAAGTTGACTTTCTTGTATTCGGTCGACCTCGTACTGGATTAGGTCGACCTCAAAACCAACACTTGATCTTCATTTTACGTCAAATGATCGGACAAATTGATAGAACACTTATCTTCTATCTGGTCGACCTCTTTCTTTATCTGGTCGACCATGTTGTTAATGGCTGCCATCAAGTGGTCGACCTATAAACCTTTACGGTCGACCATGTTGTTTCTGACGCAACGAAATGGTTCTGACGCCAACGAAATGGCCGACCGAGGTTTATTCTGGTCGACCAAAAATAACAACTTAAACTATGAGTGGTCGACCAGGTGGTATTTGCGGTCGACCGCAATGCTTTCTCGTGCTGTCCAAATTAGTCAATTCGGTCAACCGCCTTCAAAATTAGGTCGACCGAAAAGTCCATGTCACGGTGACATGCATGTCATAGTAGGCATACCCCAAATTATAATATAAGATTGATTAATGTTGAACATTTGATTATTTATTTATCGTTACATCAATCACATGTACCATACACCACATACAAAATGAATGTATCAAATACGATCTAAGAATTTAGTAAACAAGCTTAGCTCGAACTCGACTCGGCTCGTTAATAAATGGCTCGAGCTCGAGCTCAACTCATCTGTTAACGAGTCAAGTTCAAACTGGGGTAAAACTCTGCTCAGCTCTGCTCATTTGCAGCCCTACATAGAATTATCGTTTCATACCAAGCCATATGAAGATAATTATTCAGCACACTAACATCTAGTGAATTTGATTCTATATTTATGAAAATTTAAAGGTTAAGCATGTTATAAAACTAAAAAAACTTCTATTGATAATATGAAAAGAGTTAGATATATAAGTAGAGCTTCTTTGAGTTAGTTTTAAAAGAGAATGAGGTATATGTAAAACGGAAAGACTTGTAGCAACATAACATTTGTATGGATATAACCCTCGAAAAATGTCAGAGATGAAACACAAAATTTTAATTGTGAAGAAAGGATAAAAAAAAGCTCTTGTGTTGGTCTTTTCCGGTAGCAACTGTCTGCTCTTGCTTCAGAGGTATCGGTGATGTGGTTTGGACTCTCGAGGAAAAATCTTCTCATCTTGTTATCTATTTTTTTTCAAGAGTCGTAATTTATAATCAAGATTGAGTAGTTATCTATCCGTTAATATGCGAGTGCGCAACATCTCCATCCGTCTTGAACTCTTTATTTATATAAAAGTTGCCTTACAAGGTCTTTCAAGAATAATATGACACTTGAAACTAGCCCCACCTACAATATTCTTCTTGGTTATGCCCAATTTTATAAGTCGAAAATTTAAGAATAATATGATAATCGATATTAATATGTTTAACTCCTTTTAAAAAAATCATTGTAATTGTCCTAGAATTGTGGTTGGACTCAATCTACATGGTAGATCTTTCCACTTCAACCTACATCAGTCAAACAAATTGTCTTTATCTCAAGACAACGAGTTTCAATAGTTTCACTCCATTGATCGCTTTCATCTGATCTTAAAGCTTCTTGTTAAATCGTTCAGCCAAATGGCAAAATTTTGTTTTGTGAGACAGAACACACTTATTTGGACTACACAAGTGTCTAGAGCAACTGCAAATTTTGACCATAGCCAGCATATATGCATGTGTTTTATTGATACAAGACGGCCAATTACCATTCAACGAAGCATCCTGTGGCTAAATTGGTAAAATGAACAATCCCAAAGGTGAGCGCACAAATGAATGATGATGAAATCATACAGCATGCACAATGCAGAGATTTCCACACTTAATAACGAATACACACAAATGTTTGGTTCAAGGGTTCTTCATCTTGATCCTTAGCCTCCTCGCAACCTGGGCAGCTTTGGGATGAACTGGCCTCTTGCTGCCATCGGACTGTTCCACCTCCACCCAATTAATCACCTTCAATATGACGGATTGAGGGACCTTCTTACCATCCCCGTCTGCATTCATGCTCTTACTGTTACTGCTATTCCCTCTTGATGATGATGATGAAGATCTCTTCATGCCAGTTTCCAATGCTTTCTCCACGAAATCCATGAACCATGTCCCGGCTTCAGACTCGATCTCCTTGC